TTATATATTTATATGTATATATATATATATTTATATATATATATGCATATATATATATATATATATAAATATACTGTTGTGCTGACGCCAGAGTCGTCCAACCAAGTGCGTCATATGAGCAAAAGCATGTTTCAAATGACAACTGTCTATATTCTAACAAGCATGTATCAAACTAATCCTCAACGGAATTGGATTCGCTTGGTTATCTGTTCTTATCCAAGCCAATATCCATATTTGTGATGTGTTGGCCTTATGCGCAGATTTAGACCACAGAGTTACATCTGCATTCGCGCATACGGGAATTACTGTTCTTGCCGTAGTTTTCACATATCTTTTGGAACATGATGTCTTCTCACTTGTGCGATGATTGTTTCAGATCTGCTTGTGGAAAAGGACAAGCACGTTGAATCCAGGAATTCAAATCCAGTTGAAGGTGCCGAGCCTCGACAGCACCTGGAGAAGGGCTATAGTGCCAGTGGCAGTCTAAGCTCTGTCACCAGAGCCGACTTTGGCAGGTAAATGTACACGTGTAAACATACAGTAAGAGTGCGAGTAAATGCCAATGTTTACCTATGCATATACTGTTGACGATTGAAGTACTTGCTTATATGCCAGTACTGAGTGTATGCATGTTGTATCCTTTTCATAACCCAAACAAACACCTCACGTTGGCAACACACCTACTTCATACTCTGCAACAGGGCAGGCTGATAAGGTGCTACTTGGCTTGCTTCACAAATCCAAATTCACTCCTTTATCCTTCAGTCATGATCAAGTATCAACTTCACTAATTTGTATCGTATTCGTGACGGTAGTCAGCTCAGCTAACGCATGTCATATCGGCTGTTCTTGACTTTTGTACTGCAGCGTCGATTATCTCGAGACGCGAAGCCATGCGCTGGACCAGTATAAGGGCGGCGCCTCGTCACACACTACCCGTAAGTGTGAACTAGTGTTAATATCGATGTAGGTGTGAAATGGCTTCGAACTTACGTACGTGGGCATTAGCTTGAGCTGTTTAGTGTGGAGCCTAGGGCACCGTGTTGTTGCGATATAGGCGTCACATGCACTGTGTGCTGCTCATGGCACATTGGCAGTGGTTGCCTCTGTAGAGACTCCGCTGGCATAGTGCGAGAGTGCGATGTTTGTATTGGGGTGTATGAGCCTGGGCTTATCCCATAGTGCTTTTATATCGATTACTTGACTTGTATTGCTGTCTAGGGGAGAGGTTGAGTCTATAATATGACTGAAGTCCTGTATTGCTGTCTGAAGTAGTGGTCAAGTCTATATATATTATACCTAGAGTCTCAATAATAGCTTAGATCATGTGGATAGGCACATACATATTTGTGATAACACCTTAGCCAGGTAATATCTCGCGGCACTTCCGTCAGAATCGCTAACGGTCGAGAACCTCTTCTAAAGTTCTATACTGGAGAGTGAGCAACAATCAGTAGAACTCATAACATCAGCTATCAACTCTGATGCGTATTATATATTGCCGTATAGATATCGAGTCCAACCGACGTAGTTCGATTAGGCTAGATCAGCAGATATGAAGTGTTTACCTCTGTGCTGAACCACTAGGTAATACTGATACGGACATAACTGTATAAGTAGTACTAATACTCTCCTACCTGTATAAGTAGCACTAATACTCCCATACCTGTATAAGTAGTACTAATACTCTCCTACCTGTATAAGTAGTACTAATACTCTCATACCTGTATAAATAGCACTAATACTCTCCTACCTGTATAA